TGAGAAATTACTATATGAATAAAAAATTAGATTATTATTCAAAAATTGATAAATTACAACAAATTGCAAGTGGACTTCTGGATATTCATAATTCTGGAAAAATAATTGTTAATTAACAAAATTATAGTAAAAATGCCTTGCAATTTCTTATTAATAAAGTGTGAACCAGAAGGCTCATAATTTATATTTATATACATTTTAACGTATATTAATGGATTTTTTAAAAAAAAGTAATATAAAAAAAATAAAAAAATTATCCTATTTTAAGGCTAACAGTTTATTTTGTAAAAAAAAATTTTTAATTTTTCCAATTATCAACTTTTTTTAAGAATTATTTGTGAAATTGTAAGATTTACAAATGTTACAATTAATACTTGAATAAAATAGATCCAATGTCAGAGTTTTCTCAGTAAAAATTTCAGCCAATTCGGCTAAAAATTGACCGATTTACCTATGTAAGAAACGCAGATTTCCAAAGGTTTCGGCAAAACGTTCTTTCGGCGAAATGGCTTCGGTGAAATGGGTTTCGGCAAAATGTCCTTTCGGCGAAATAGCCATTCGACAAAATGGCTTCGGCAAAATGGGTTTCGGCGAAACGTCCCTTCGGCGAAATGGCCCTTCGGCGAAATGTCTCTTCGGCGAAACATCCCTTCGACGAAATATACCTTCGGCGAAATGGCTTCGGCGAAATGGGTTTCGGCAAAATGGCTTTCGGCAAAATGTCCTGATACCCATTAAATTATATTTATAATATTAGAATGATATAAATAATAAATTATTTTTAAATAATGTAGCTATTTATATTAATGATTTGATGTTTGAGTGTAGAGTGAAATTCGGATGAATTAGGAATTGTGAAAAAATAATTATCAATAAAAATTGATTAAGTTTTTAGAAGTATTTTGAAAAAACTTTAATATTATGAAAATACAACAAATATTTTTATTAATTAATTATAAATTTTATAATTATCTCTTATTATTTTATATTACGTCAATTTTAAACTTATAATCAACTTAGGAAAAATATTTGAACAATTAAATATTAGAAATCTGCTCATTTCATTTATTATTATTCTTTTGATACTCATTTTTATTCAATAAATTATCAATTTAACTAAACCATTTGAATTAAATTTTTTATTCAAAAATCTGGTGATTATTTAGAGAATTTCGGATATGGATTTGGTTATAATAGTCTATTATTAAATCAAGAATTTCTTTAATTAATTAATTATAAAATATTGTAAAAATATCAATTTTTTTTTGATTTTTATGAATTTGAAAATCAAACTATTTATCCAGCGTTCAATTTAATTGAAAATCTTAATCATCTTTCTACATGCTGTCTCTTATACACATCTAGATGTGTATAAGAGACAGAGTATATACTGTATGTATTGCCTAGTACGTCAATAAAACATAAATCAACTAGAACAATATTCTCCAATAGAAATTTATTTTATAGCTTCTATTAAAGATCCCTAGATANAAAAAAACTAAACCGAAAGAAGAAAGGGAAAAAATTTTTTTTTCAGTTTGAAAAAAAACGAAAAATTTAAAATTAATAATCAAAAAAAAAATTCCGATTAAGGTAAAATTTTATTAACTGAAATTGTATTTGATTGGAATAAATAGATCAGGTGGAGGCATGTCACGGGTTTTAATTATATGGCATGGGATTTCAAGTTACACAATTCAAATTATTATCAGTTATGCAGAGACGTCAGACAAATTTTTTTTGTTATATAGTTTTTTTAGATATATAGATTTATCAAAAATTTATTATAGATTTAATTACAAAATATCTATATAATTAAAAACAATCTCACTAAAAAAAATTCGTTAATATCAAAAAAAATTTTCACAAATTTATTAGTCAGAAACAATATCATTGACTAAAAAAAATCTCACTAAAACATCGAAAAAGCCGTAGGACATAGTTCTATAGTCTTGACCCAAACCAAAAAAAAAGAATAAACTAAATTTTTTGGGTTAAAAAAAATTTGATAAACAAAGCAAAAAGTTAAGTTAACCAAAAGAAACAATAATGATAAAAAGAGAGAAAAAAATTAATAAAAAAAAAAGACTAAAAAGGTAGTTAAGGTAAAAACTGAAAAATAAAAAAAAATTATTATTGGTTCGTGGTAACTAAGAGAGCGGAAATGACCGCAAATAAATGCAATTAATAAGAAAAATTATACTTTTTTTTGTTAGTATTAATCCATTAGAATAAAAAAAATCAAGTTAAAATTTTAATTAACTGGAAATGTATTAGTTTAAAGATTGGTTATGATAGTCAGTTAATTAATTACGAACGCAAGAATATCACACTTTTCAATGTTACACAATTCAAGTTATTTATACAGGGTAATCTAAATATGACAAAATTTTTTTAATTAGATAGATAAATAAAATAGATATTATAACTCGTGTCACAATTTTGATAAAGGGATTATTTTTGTATGGCTGATGTGGCAACGTGATTCTATCATGGGATCAGACCTTACAGTATGACTTTATTGGTAAGTAAACCTACAACTAGGGTTGGATCGGTCCATGATCATCAATATAAGTTATATTTCTATAATTAAATACCCTTCAGGTGTTTTTATAGTTTATTTCTCATCAACATATTTCTGAGTCCACTGGAACTGTAACTGACCTATTGTACCACAGATTTTGGATTAGGTATACTAGATAACTATATGAGTTTGACCTGTAAAAGTGGAATTGATAATACTTATGTAGTAATTACTTCAGGAAGGTCACGTGATGACAGCGTTCGTGTTAATTATATTTATCTCAGCGACTTAGAATTCTTTTGAGGACAAATGACCTCCCGTTATATACCAAGGTTCAACGGCGTTTAATCCCTCTCTTATAAAAGCTGAAACCTACGCTATCTTACATTACTTCTTACCTGTCCTGACGTTACTATTTACACCCCGGATAATTATAGTTGAGGTCACATCCGACTATGTTTTAATCTTTATACATTATTTATCTTATAATTTTATTAAGTTAATATTATAAAATAATATAGAAAAAATGTTTCTTTTAAAGAAAAGAATCATTTGATACCAAAATTATTGATTAAAATTAGAGATAAAGTTGTGTAACAAGGCAAAATTTGGCAAAAAATTATACACTTTTTCACTATCAGTTTACATAGAAATTTTCAAAAAAATAAAAAACTACATTATTAAATATTACTTTTTAAATTACAAAGTTATAAATAGTAGGAAGGCACTATTTTATTAAAATTTTACATTTATATCTTTTAAAATAAATTAAGATGGCAATAATAAATTTTTAAAAATTCTTAACATAGGGGACATAACCTTGATTATAATTATCTGGGGTCCTACAAAACTTACTTCACACTGACGTATTTTAAAAATCAACAACCACAAAGCTTGGCGTGTAATTGACTCAATAGTTTAGAAAAAAGAATTATCAATCTCGTTCATCAAAGTCAAAGTACATTCTGGTGACCCTTTTAACTATTTGGTCGACGGACTAGCGAATGAAGCTCCTATCACCATCAACGTCCAGAAATTCCTGATACCCTCATGACTCCCATATAAGCGTCCTTAGGGCCTATTGACCATGCCTACGCAAATTTACACGTATGATAGTTTCCTCCACAACAAACCACTTCAAGCTATTCTCAATGACAAAGAAATCAACTGGTCCCTTACTAGGGATTGGCTTCATCAAAATCACACAGATGATCCCGTACAACAGCACACGACTCCTTTAAAACAGAATGTCTCAATCACATCCTCTCGTGTGGAGACATCCTATTAAAACACTATCCATCGCTCTGCCCGGATGAGGGTATTCCTTGTCCGATCAGTACAAATCACAAGGACACTAATTCCCACTTGGGATTTTGCAACCAACTACTCCCTTTCTTAAATCAAACCCTACGGGAACATCAAAAAATTTTAATTGACCTTATTACAGAATATAGTTCAGCGGAGCGTATTACATATTTCTTAAAGGAAGATGTTTTACAATCCGAACTCTTCTCTGAAGTGCAGAATCAATCTCATATTATTACTTACTTTTACATCAATTTATCCCACACAGCCTTACTTATTTTATCAATTCGTATACCAACAAGTATCAGTAAGACGTCATGTGACCATTAAACTTTATTACAAAATTACAAAAACTAAAGCAAGCAATATGGACCACGCCGAACGCTCGTCACGTGCCACCTGCGGACCGGAAACGCACCTTGTTCTCCAACCACCCAAATGTTAATAATTAGATACGAGAATCATCCACATCTGAATTGGCGACTGGCTGTTTGGACTTCTTTTTTGAATAATTTTTAATTATAGTATAGATTTTTATAATTACAATGTATTGTTTTTAGATTTTTTTTCTTTTTTCTCTTCATATTATAGGATTCCGGATTTTTATTTTATTTCTTCTAGTTCGTTTTACAGTTCTGGTTACTCCTTTATACAAAAGTAGGCAGGACGATTCTTTCGAGGGTTGGGTTATTATTTAGATAGGTGTAGTTTCGAGTCTCTTGTAGAGTACTCCGCTCCCATACTTGTAATGCCCCGTAACTGTCTTAATTTTTAAAATAAAATAAAATAATAATTTTTTTGAAGGCGCAAAATGTCTCGCCCTTTATGCACTATTAATATTTGTGCTACGCGAGGTGGTGTGGTAAGATTTTTTTTTTTAAAAAAAAAATTCAGGTGATGATTGCAAATCTAATGAGTAATGATTAATCGTTTAATGTAGTGATTAATAATATTAATTATTTTTTTATTAATTATAATAATTATCTGCTGTATTTCGTCATAACAAACCAACTATCAGGAGTATGTTTTATTATTAATCAAAAAAGTCAAAAAGTATAAAAGCTCTCAAACTTTCTCAAGACTTTTATTCTTTATAACTACTTTTTTTTAAAACTTATTTCTTCTCTGCTTCAAACTATCGCTTTCGCACTACTGGTTCAAGATATCAAAAATGTTTCAAACAAAATACGAATTCGAATATGCTAAAAGTCGCGATGATAATATTTTCAACGATGTAAAAAAAGAAATAATAACTGCAAAAACACCAGAAGGAAATGACTTTGATATTGTAACTGAACCTGGATATGGGGAAAGTAATTACTTATAACTTGTATTAGATATCTGAAATTCAATATGTATTTATGATTTCAGTATTCTGTATAATACATTGTTTCTTTATATGATTCTGCCATAATATTAGGAGCTACACTTATAATGTTTCAAGAGGAAGGAACTGCACACTATTCGGCAACCGAAAATCAAGAGTAAAAAATCATTTAATAAATTAAGATATAATTTATTTCTGTATAAATTTAATTTCTTTTTTTGATTTGCGTTAAAAAATTATCTAGCCAACAAATGCAAATACATGTTTCACAGCTTTCACTTGCTCCAACCACATCTAAAAACTCTAGCGAAGAACAAACTGGAGAAGATAAAATTGAAATTACCCAGGAACTGATTTCGTAAGTTAATTTAAATGTATTAATTATCTTATATTTCATTTTGTTTTTTTAATCTGCGTCCAATATTCTGACTTGTCTAGGCAACAAGAACAGCCACAGCTTATCGAAACGGAAGAATCTATGTTTGTAGAGTTTTGGCAAATGACCCAGGAACAAACTATTTCGTAAGTTATCATCATTAATCTTAACGTATTATGTATATTGACTATCTATTATATTATGTCTATAATTTCATTTGTTCTTTATACTATAGATATAGACAAAAGGGTATTTAAACTTTTATACCATACTATTATTTTTCTGTCTGGTTTACTAATGAGGAGATCCCAAAAACGTTGATTATTTAGAAAAAAATGTTGAAGAGAAACTATTTAAACAAGAAGACCAAAAAGAGGAAAGTGAGAGTGAGACTCAAGGGAAAAAAAATAAAATAGAAAGCAATAGAAATAATGATATAAATGGTATGTTAAAATAATTTATTTTGGATTATGATTCTGCTGTAACATTATTAAATCGATTTTATTATTCTTTTTTTAATAATAGCCAAATTAGATGCAATTTTAGAAAGGCTAAAAAAGTTAGATGAGTTAGAAAATAAATTAGATAAATTGGAAAGTAAATCAAACAAATTCCAAAAACAAACCAATGAAAGATTTAAACATATAGACAACAAGATTGACAAAATGCAGAAAGATAGTGGATATATCTTTGAAATGATTGCAAGATCTGAAATCTCGAAAAGATACGGACAACGCTATTCAGAGAAATTTTTGCTATTTGACACAAACGGAATTACCAGACTTTCATTGCCAAGTGCAATGTTAAAGCCCATAAATTCTATTATGAATTTGAAATATAGCAGTCAAGGTTATACGATAGAATTTTACAATAAAAAACTAGCTAAGCATATCTGGGTAAGTAGTTATTATTTATTGAGTATTTAATATTTATAGTAAAGATAATTTCATTATTGTAATAATAATTATTATTTCAGGACATAAAAGATGATCTTGTGGAACGAATTAAAGAAGTAAAATGCCACCCAAAAACGCATAATAAAAAAGGCTATCTTGCCCTTTGCGAAAGAGCAGAATATTTGCTTGATAAAGCTAAATGTAAGGAGTTTCTTTTATTTGAATTTTAAAGAGAAGAATTAAATTAAATTCTATTTTGTTTATTAGCGGCAGATGATACATTAGAATTCTTAATTCATCACTCCAATTTAGGAGTAATGATACTTACAGCTCATTTAATAAACTTCGAAGACTCTATTAAATTCAACCAGGTAAAAGAAATTGCAAAACTTTTTGAAGTTTTTTCATTATTTTTAGGACTAAATTGTTGAATTTTATTCCTTAGTCACCTTTTTTCGAAAATATAGAGATTGATGTTAGATGTAAAAATGAGTTGATTGATCAAGATACTATTACTATTGAGATTGGAGAGATAAAAAGCTCTATTGATGAAAAGTCGATATGCAAAGCATATCAACAATTGTATTTACGTTTAAAAATACTTTTTCATACATCTAAGATATTATTCCCAGAGAAAAAAATTATTTTAATAGGAAGACTATTTGTTGGTGGAAATGTTAACCAAATTCGAAATCACATCTGGGATAAATATCGGGAAGAACAGGGTATTAGTGATTTAATTAATATAATACCCACATTAATCTAAAGGTAAAGTAAATGGAAATTTAAAGCGGTTAAATATGAGTTATGTTAATAATTTTTTATATCCATTTCTTAGGAAGAAATTATGAGATCATTAAATGACATCATTCAAAGTGGAAAAGCAAGTTATTTATTGTTCTTGAGTTTTCATTTAAAGCAAATAATTTTTTTTCGAAATTTTATTTAAAAAATAGATTAGGTTTTTTATGTTGCTTCATGCTAATACATTGCTGATTACATGGGTGGAAGTATGAAATTATAATTATTAAGATATTAATTATTAGGTTAATGGATATTACAAAACGCGTTATAATATGTTGGATCGATCGTTAGTAGAAATACAAAATTGAGTTAACCGATGCTTTAGGCAATGGGTTTTGAAAAATTTTCTAGATATTGTTGAAATTTAGCTAATAATCGTTAATTGTCTTCAAGACATTAGTCTCGCTAGCAAATTCTCATCGAAAATTAACAAAATTAGCTCTTGAAATTCTAAGGAAAAATTTATACATAAAGATTCATAATGACGAGAATATGAACAGATTTAAAAATTATTTTAGAGTATCTAAACCAGGGGAGTTAGTACAATTAGAAAATCGCTTAAAAGAAGTTCGTAATTTGAATAAATTTTTCTCTCGTGAAAGAAACAATCAAAAACAATTTAAGAGATTTGATAGTTTTAAAAGAGTATCCAAGAATTAATAAAAAATGTTGATAAAAGTTCTTTTTGCACCTTGCGATGCTTTTTTGATTACTGTTATCCACAAATCACATTCTAGTCTCAAAATTCTTTATATCTAGAGTTTAGTTTAGTGAGTTAACCTAGATTCGTCTTTGTGAAAAAGCCCATTTAAGATATCAGTTTGTTTTAACTAGATAGGTTTCTATGTTTCAGTAAACACCACCATTTCAAAAAAAAATTTTTACGAATTAATTTAGTAAAAACTTTGGAAGATGATCTCACACTACTCTGTAATAAAACCTTCATATCTAAGTTAACAACTTTGGTTGTGATCTCACATTTTCTGATTCCGTTTCACACTTTGTGAATAAAATTTTTAAGGTTGAAATTTGCCGTTAAATTTCCTTATAGACAAATTGTTTCTTAAAATCTTCTAAATTGAAATCTGTTCGACGCATAGAATTTTACAACACTCTTATAATGCGGAATTCACGTGACATTCTGTTGTTACTATTTTTTTATTGAAAAAGTTGCCATAGTATTTACCCGTTATACCTCGCCTAAAACTCTCCCCAAGTGTGGATATTTTACACTCCATGCCTAATAAATAGTGAAGTTTCTTTACACAATATACACAAAATTTTTTTTACCAATATCAACAATTACTTTTCCTCCATCGTAAAATTCTTTCTGAAAAATTTCACGTGACCAAACCTAATAGGTCAAGTTACAAGATCTACGAAATTTGACACTCAAAGAAAGATGTACTAAAAAACTCTCACCGCTAATCCTCAAAATTTGTAAAATGGCGCAGCAGAAATTTTAAAACTTCTAGTGTTCTCGTAATACTTCACTTAAAACCCAAATCAAGTGCGAATAAAAAACACTCCAAACCTAATAGTATATACGTATGGTTAAGGTTTCGGCCTTAAAAAGAATTATACAGCTGTTTTTCAGTGAAGTTTATCGAACACCCTTTTTTATATATTATAGATAACAAACAACTACCTGATTTTTTCAGCGTAACCATAGTCTACCCACTATAAACTTTTTTTTTGGTTATTTTTCACTTCTTTATTTCATAATATTTCATATATAACAATATGTCTTTTTCAAAACCTATCGTCTTTTCTCCGTCAAAAAATTCTTTTGAATAAATTGCACGTGACGAAAACAAACACCGGTTACAACAATCAAACAATCAAAGAAGCTTCCTTTTTGAGCTAGCCGATCAGAACACCAACACCAACGAAATTCATTTAAAGATACACACAAATGATATCGCATGAAAAGTACTCCTATTCCAAGAGTAAATTTCCCAATCACAAATACCAAATTAGCACAATGCTCAGACACTTTTTTTCCTTACAAAGAGTTTTGTCTCGACGAATTCAACAAAAATATTTTATACAAAGAGTCGCTAATATTAAATCACATGCAGATAAAGACGCTCAAAGAAATATTACAACTAGAACATTTTTTAATTTTCTTACAAACGTTATCGATTTTATTTTGGTATTTATGTGACTTATGACAAACCTGGATGGATAAAGAAAAATGGAGCTCACTCTAAAACAGACACCTTAGATGAAATAGTCTTTGAAGAATTTAACCCCAAAAAGACAGGATGCCTAGTCCTTTTATCATGTCACACAACAGACGCGCTTGCATCATACACCAAAATTTAATCTTCGCGCACCAAGTTTTCACTAACTTGGAAAATAAATCGAACAATCAAAACGTTCCTCCTAACGAAAACGATAAGAAATTTCACACAAAATATATAGGGCTTGGCGTTATAATCAAGATAAAGAGGTCTTCTCTTGCAGATTAGACATCTTACACCATTAAATATCAGGCCAATGGTCAATGTTTCATTACCGGTAACGGTAGTCGATATATGTACAAAAAATCAATTAACTTTATACACACCCCTAATGCTTTGCAGCGCACGCGGCGAAAGCAGACTAAACGATTTGAACAACACTGTAGAAGAATTTTTAAACCTAACAAACCAAACGCCCCGATCACTGACGAATATAAACTCCTTGCTGCAAGGAGACGTAATTTTTTATTTGTTGAATCACAAACCGTCACCAAAATGATTAAACGCCTCAAATCCTCAATATCGGAAAAGGCTATTATACCAGCTGTTGAAGATTATGACTTTCCGGCATTTTTCTTTAATTTTACCCTACGCGCACAAAATTATATTAAAAACAATTACCTATATCCACCTCTTTATCTATCTATCACCCTAGTCCAGAATTACTGGACAATTCAGCTTCTTCATCAACGGGTGCTACAGTTACACCATTCAACCATCTTCCTCCTCCAAGTATTCATGTTCCTGAGGTACGTCATCAATTTATACCTAACAGGCCAATATACTCTAACAAAGAAGGGAACTTTTACTCTAGGATCACCACAATGGTTTCAACATTTACGAGATAAAACCAAGGATCATGTGAAAAAAATTTTAACAAAAAAAGAACGCAAAGAACGAAAAGCATGTATAAATACGTGAGCGTGAGATCACTCATGAAAATCAATGACACTAAACGCTATAAACCACGGGACGAGTGTGAAGATACTCGATCATCGCACCTGTACTACAGATGCGCTTACGCTTCATAATAACAATTTTCATGGACGTATATCCAATAGTTGTCAAACCTGATAAACGAGAAAAATTAGAAGAAATTGTTACAAACCGCAAATCCTTACGACGATTATGGACGATCATAGATGGAATGATCGGTATCCTGAATCGGATACATCGGACGAAACACGCGAATTAGAGAAATGACCTAACAAACGTACAACAAAAACTAACACTAATCTTGATTTATTTGGTCCACACAAAGACAAAAAGTTACGTCCCACGCCGGTCGAAGGTCGTGTTTATTAGGATAATTTTTTTTTTCTTTATTTTATTTTATTTTAGGAGTCATTTATATTTTTTCTAGTTGTAGATAACTTTTACTACACCATTCATAATCTATACAATTCAGAATAGAGTAAATCATTCCACCTCTAACAGTATTTACAGGTGGCGACTTTTTAGTCGAAAGAAAATACGGATCACTTATAGCTTACTGAAGCTTGATAATATTATACGCGCCTTCAAAACATATGTATAATTAGTTTTTTTTTTTTTTTCTTTTATATCAGTTTGTTCCTTTTAGTTTAGCTTTTTATATTATACTGTTTCTTACTAGTCTTAGTACTTAACAGGCGGTGCTCTCCGATTCAAGTTACGTGGGTGTAAGTGTTTGCAATGTTGCTCTAATTTTTCATTAGGAAATAGTTTAGACTCCTATTGTACTCCTGCTTGACAGAGATAAATAAAATAAATAAATATTTGACTCAAGAAGTTTCTTTTTGGGTTAGCAGGTCGTCAATCTATACAATTCGTTATCCACGAGTCAACTTTCCACACTTTTTTTCCCTACAAAAAGTTCTACCTCGACGTATTCGACAAAAATATTTTGATCTTATCCGCTCCAAATTATTGGACCGCATCCACATTATTAAATCACCTGCTCTCAGTCAAACGAAAAAAAATATTTCAACAAAAGCTTTTTTTAATTTTTCTTATAAACGTTATCGGTTTTATTTTGGAATCTTTGTTCTGTGCCTCGTCACTTACGAAAACTGAGTTGGTTTCAAGAAATAACTGTACCTGCAGGAAAAAATTGCTCATCCAAAAATCATATGTTCCTTTTACGGTTCTGTCGAATCAGAAATGTTGTAAATCTCTAGTCCGTTTATCATGTTTTACGACCGATGCGCTTGCGTCTTACACCAAAAGACATTCTGGAAGAAAATCTTCAACAATATTAAAAAGAACATTACTACTGAACCGAAGGTTCCACTTAACAACAAAATCCTACACGCCAATAAATTGTTCAGCAATTGGCATTCACGCAAACAGAAACTGGTTTATTCTCGCCGTTTAGGTATTTACATACCAATCTAATGGTATTAAACATATTCTTACGAAAGGTAGTCGATATATGTACAAGAAGAAATTCTCAGACCTTTAACATACTCCTAGTATCAAACCAGGTAAACGCCAAAAACAACAAAAAAAATTTCAACGCCATTGGCGTTAGGTTTTCAAGTCCGAAAGATTCTTTGATGCCTACAAGCTTAGAAGATAAGTTTCTTACTGTCAGAAAGCATCGCTTTCTCTTTTTAAAATCACAATACATCCTTAAGCTGATCAAACATCTTAAGTATCTCAAAAAGGATGTCTTAGTGGATACCGTTCCTGTTACCTATCTTTAGTTTCAAAGCAAAAACACGTAAACGCATCAAAAAATATCCTACGGATACTGATAATGGGCCTACGGGCGATAAATCTACTCCTTGACCGACCGAACCCACTTCTAGTTCGGTGAGCGACTCAATGACAATATTGCGATCTTCGTTCAGATACGTCTGACAACACAAAGGAAATTGAACGACGCCCTAACAATCGAAATGTTAACGTTAACAACAATTTGGACTCTCATAAAACGCTACATCAAGAGAAAAAATCGTATCTGATGACAGGTTATTTAGATGACTCCTTGGCCGCCGGACCATCTAACACTAAATAATTTGTTTTTTTTTACTTTTCTTTGAGTCTTTATCCCTTTTGCACAAGTAGATCACCATTACTACAAATTTAGAATAGTGTGAACGACTTCGCCTCTGGCAGTATCAACAGGCGGCAACTTATGTTGAAGGATCTTTTTGATTCCATCCCGCAGTCTTTTATATATCTTTTTATCGAAGGGTGAGCCTGATTTGTTTGTTTTGGTTAGGTATTATAGCTCAATTTTTAATAGTCAGTATAGTCGGACTTGTGCCGTTCCTATCTGTGAAATAGATTGACTAGAATAATAAACGCTCTTCTTAAAGTAAAATAAAGTAAATAAAATAAACATTGGGATCGATGTTTATGAACAGTGAGACATTTTCAAAAATGAAACACTTTCATTCTCTAAATACCCAAATTATGACATAACCATTAATACTTTTATTATCCACTTACTATGTTCCATAGCATTAGTTAATCAGTTCATGGAATAAATATTTCTAGCGTACGTATTATAAAAATATACGAAATTTATCACCCTTAAAAAAATATTAGACGATGATTTAATTGATTTTATGAAATCACTCATATGATATATAATATTAAGCTGATTTGTATTATATATGTCCTATGTAAGCATTAGGCATTTTTACATATGTTATTGATCACTTTATTATAAAATAATCAATGAGATACATGAAAAGACTTAAAAGTCCAGTCGCTTACGTCAGACATAACCAACAACAATTACTTTCCCTTGTATAATGATGGGGGCTGGTATAAATCATAATGCAGCTATCATAAAGATAGCAAATAAAGAACGTGTAGTCAATTAATTAACTTTTAATAATTTAATAAAGCAATATATTATTGCATCACTGGAATACTTTTTGGTAATATTTTAATTATTTCGCACAGTTATAGAATTATAGGGAGTGAGATTTAAAATTTTTCTTGTATACATAATGTACAGTACGTTTTATTCCCTATTCTCTTTTATAACTGTGAATAACTGATGTTAATAAAAATATTATTTAATAAACTGTAGAAAGTTTAATTAATTAAAAAGATCAATCAAATTATATTTAATATAATGTTTGATCTCTGAAACTTAATAATGTCAATATACAATACAAATAATTAGACTCTTTCGAAGCATTTATGTGATTTTTGATCATAGTCACTCATAGTTTTAAAATAAAATTCTAAATTGAATTTATTCTCAAAATTTTCCTTTTGATGTCGAAAACTATCTAAAGGATGATTTCAATACTTTAATGAATACTTTACAACAATGTATCCCTTTTATTAATTTTTATAACTTAATTCAAAAGAGTTCATGGATAAAGCGTTGCCTTATAAAAGAATTTTGCCAAAGAAGATTTATTAAAATTTTATTTAAGTCTATCGGATCCTAATAACAAGTCAATTATTGATTCAAAATTATTACATATCAACATATCGAATTAATCTCGAAATGGATCAATAGATTAGAAATTATGGACAAGTAAAATTCTCCATATAAATTCCAATTATTATTTCGCGGATCTCGTGATGGACTTTCAGGAGAAAAATTTTATGATAATCAAAATCGTACGGTAACAGTTATTAAAGTGAAAGATGGTAGCGAAATTCTCGGGGGATATAATCAAGTTGAATGGAGGTCTGATGGTAGTTATGGCACTACTAAAGATAGCATTGTATTCTCTTTTAATAATGATGATAGAATTGAGAATTATATTTTAAGTCGTGTAATGAATGAATGTTATGCTACAGATTTTTAGTGTTTACTATATTGGGGGACGGGTCTTGATTTTGGTAGTTATTGTCGTAGTAAAAAAAATTTCTACGAAAAATCGATTAAAAAAACTGAAAATGAATTTACTGTGGAAGAATATGAAGTATTTCAAATTGTATTTCAAATTGTATAAGATAAAAAATTTTGTATAACTAATTGAATTTTGTTTGATTGAATATATAGCAATTTTGCCATTGATAAAGTTCAATTTTTAGGAATTAACTTTTTATTTAAAATTATTTTACCGGCTGGAACAGAATTTTATTTTGAAGATTTATAATGATTTTTCTTAAAATTCATATTTATCACGTTTCATATTCTTATCTTTTTTTATTTCTATTAAGTATTTTAAGACAAATTTTTTATTTTATAATTAGTGCATATATCATTTAAATACCTGTGTGAAAAATATTCATTTTAATAATTATTATAAAAAAAGTATAAATTAAAAATACTTTTGGAACTATTTTAGAAGTACAAATAAACCAAATTTATCCGTTCTATTAGATAAAAAAAAATGATATACTAAAAATAATTTGTATGATGATTATTAGACCAATTCAAAGGTTACGCAATAAAATACCTTGATTTTGTTACAAAAATCTAAACAAATCTTGAGAGAAGGAATAAACTATTAAATTCGTTTTACAAAATACAATTCTCGTTTATATTTGGCTGTACATATACGATGGTTTTTTTCTTCAATATACATAATTTTATACAATAGAAATAAATATTACCAATGATTCTATCGTATTTAATTGAAAAAATTAATACTGAAAAAATGTTGAGATAATATGTAGAAGTTTTCGTTAGTTATAAATGACTCTATATTAGTAAATAATTTTTGCCTAATTTTTGGTGAATAAATATTTATTAGCTAAACATTTAATATAATGAACGATGCAAAAATTCAAAATTACGCTGGATTATACAATTTGATTTCTCAAAGTTGTTAATTGACGCTTATTAATAAGTTAGTTATTTATCGTATTTTGTATTAAACTTTTTTATACTATATTTAAAATATCAATAAATTTATTTTTATTTAATGTTAAACTAAATAATAATATAAAACTGATAAAACTATTTTTTAAAAAAATATTATTATTAAAAAGAAAAAGTATAAATCTCTAATAAGTTTTAATAAAAACCAACATTCATATATCAAAATCAAGTTCATGTGTAATATATCCTATATTTTTATTTAAAGAAATTAGGTTAAGATAATAAAATTTTTAAAAGTATAATAATCACTTACTTTCATTATCAAAGCATTGTTCAGAATTTATATCTATGTCCAATTCAAATTCTTGCGTAGTATAATCTAAATAAATGAAAACGAAAAATAATTAAATTTAAGCACAAATTATTTTTATTACAAATACGCGAAATATTTTACCATTATTTTCATTTTCGATTAATTTAACCTTTTTAATAAATTTACCTGGAAATTTTAAATTAGTAAATATTGAATTCATTCACATTTATATATAAATTTTGGCTTTTATCATACCTTCATTAAAACTGTTTTCGATTTGAGTGTCGTCAAACTTTCTTTTATCTTAAAAAATAAACTTATTAATATTACTTAAAATTATATTAGTTATTAACCCTTAAATAAATAATTACTATTAAAAGATATATCGTTTTTTTGATGATAATTAGATACTTCTAAATAGTAACGGAGTATAATTATTAATTTTTTATCAAAATTAAATATTCAATATTGTTATATTTATCGATTTTTGCAGTTATAGACTGGCTTCTTAAACTTCTTGTAGACATTGTAAACATTGCAGATTGAATCATACCACTCAAAGGTCTACTTCTATAAATAGCACCTGAATTATTTTTTGTTACAGGCCCAATATCTGACGACTGTATAATTTTAGTTACTGTTCCCCATTCACGCTTATGCATTTTATTAATTCTATCATAAATATCAGTAGCTACTGGTCTTTTATTAGGATCAGAATGCCAGCATTCTTTCATTAATTCAATATACCCTTTGGGCGCATTTGTAACAATTGGTGGTCTTAAACCATTACATATTTCTATTATAAGTTCCGCATCATGACTTCTATTCCAAAAAGGTCTTCTACTTGTCATAAATTCCCACATAATCATACCTAAACTATATATGTCTGATTCTTTGGTATACTTTTTTCCTTTAAAAGTCTCTGGATCCATATAAGGAATGATACCATAATTCTCTTTGTTATTATCATCATCTGTAATTTCAGTTGCAGATTTACTTAATCCAAAATCACCTAAATATACAAAATACCCATCATGAAAAAAGATATTTCCACTATGAAAATCTCTGTGTAAAATATTTACACTATGTATATTGACAAGACCAATTACTATTTGTGCTATATTACTCAACTTTGTCCTCCAATCAATACTATAAAAATCATTAGTTATATAGTTTGTCAAATCACCTAATTCATAATGTGGCATAATAATCATGATATCTTTGGTAACGGGATCTTGGGTAATCCCAAAATATTTACTAACATTATTTTGATATTTATATATTGTATATTTTTCTCTTTTACGCCCCCCTTTTCCAATTTAAAGAAAATTCATAAAATATCTTGAGCTAAAATAAAAAGTTTATTAATTACTTAACTCAAATTTAAGTTAATAAATAATTATAATCACCTCATTCAACTCCTTAGATGTAATGCCTTTAGAATTATTAAGCTTTTTAAGAACGACTTTATGATCTTTATATTTATTTTTTACATTATTCCAACTATGCATTTCTGGACCATCAATCCAAGTAGCCTTATAAATTTTACTAAAACCTCCTTCAGCAATGAATTCTACATTTTTGAATTGATCATAAGGTACAAACGCCATTTTTCCAGCTAATTTATTGCCACTAATTAATGTATGCTTAATAAAATCATCAATAACTTTGTTCTCACTTGGTATATATACTGATTTCGCTTTATAACAAACCTGACAAATCTGATGATTTTCATCTAAACGTTTCCTTTTTTGGTTACATTCGCTGCATAATATTGTCATTTTACGTTTACGATTTCGTTTAATTGTAGTTTGTTGTGGCAGGCCTAAAAATGTGTTGTCTGATAATAAAAAATCAATTTTTAGTTTATGATTTGTTAATTGATCCATCGGTTAATTTTTTTTAAAAGAAAAAATTCTCTTTTGCTTGAGACAAAAAAGCCTAAATATATATATTGTTTTCTAAGCAAGGAGTTTTTAATCCGAATTCAGAAAATTCCATAATAATATAATCCGTAGAAGTTTCTAATTATAATAATCGTACTAATAACTAATTTAGAACTGTAAACATGGAAAAGATTTTTCGAATGACTTTTAACAAGAATACCAGCAAAGAATTCTATAAATGCGGTGGCACATTGAATAGATCACACTGTAAGTCAGGTACAACGTGACATAATTTCGGAATAACTCTTACTATTTAATACGTAGCACGACTTTCGTAATAACCCATTTCTTTACAATGTAAAAGATAGTGTCAAATAGGCATAATCACCGTAATGTTAATTCTCAGTTTTTAGGAACTGTAAATTTCAATTTACTAAAAATTTACAATTTTTATTTAACTTTGTAGTATATAGCGATAGTCTTCGAGGAATTATTAATAAAATATAGTGTACAGTATAAATTAAAGAGCATATGTAAGGCAACTTTTTTTTTTTTTGATCATTTACCAATTCTGAACCAATATAAGAAGAGTAATTATTAAAGCATTTTTTTTTTATATTTTCAACCTAATATACTGACAGTTTGAACTAATAAAACAAGCCTTCAAGTCAATTTATTTTACAATTTATGACAAAAATTAAATATATATTTTTTTTTTTTTACTTAAAATTTGAAGATTATTTTAAGTCATCTTTATTCATAAAGAATTCTCGTTCTATCTTATCTGATAAAAAACATGTCAGATTTGGCCAAATTAAATTTTTTTTTCAAATCGTCACAATACTAGGAATAAAACATTTTATTTTGGTTTGTTTTTTATTTTATTCTGAGAAAAGTGGTTGGTTTGATTAATTTTGTTGTAGACCATAAGAACGGATGTTTAGATGTTGCACAAATTTTATTGTTGTTTACTTCATCACGTGCCGGACGGACAGCTAACATTTTGTGTAGTCCTTCGGACGTCATTATTAAAGCAACAAACTTTGGTAACTATTGCAAGTTTAAATAAAATCAAAAAGAGTGCGAGCCAACAAAAATTTCACAATTTCATAAATTGTCTGAACGAGTTTTGCCTTATTTTTTTAAATTCATTTATCAATTATTAAAATCAATGAAATAATCAGAAAGTTAGCGTCTAAGCATAGCTTATTGCTAAACAAGTTGCCTTAGTCCCTGACAGGACATTCTAAACTGTTATATGTGAGGCAATAAATTGTAATTAGAAACAGGAGTTGTAATTGAACATTTATTGTTATAAATAATACTAATAAATAACTAACTATACTGTACATTGTATTAAGAAATGTCAAATTTTGTATTTATAAAACTAAAATCAAAATGATAATATAATTTATTATACTATTTTCTGATATTCTATTAGTGACATATGCTTGTCCTGTGAATAGTAAATTCAATGATACTATAGCATATGATATTGTTAATGTTTGAGGCGCCTTGAGCTTTACATACTGTATATTGTATAATTGTTGATTTTTAGTTTGATTTCTAACAAAAAAAATATGATCTAATTATTTGTTATTAAAATCATTCAAAAAAAATCTTTTATTTTAGTTCAACTTTGAAATAAAAAGATATTATTGACAAAAAAAAATCTTAAAATAATTATTATTTATCATTATTAATTTTGCAAAAAAAAATCTGTTATTTAATAAAAAGAATCTGTTTTATTATACTCTTATTAATTATTAAAAATATTAAAAAAAAATCTCTTCACAAAGGTATTTTTTGATTGAAAATTTTTTAATTTACACGGGTGTGTTCATACACGTATCACGTGACTTTATTAAAAAGTTATGTAAAAAAAAATTTTAATAAATATAATTTTAAAAGGAACATGCAGTATGTGTATTTTTGTCTGTTCTGCAAGTTTACTTAAAGCATCAAAGTTGATTTTGAATGTCAATTTTGATTTATTTAACTAATTCTTTTTTTTCCTGTTTTCGTTAAATTTAATTCTGCCCAACATTAAGTGATCAGCATAGAAAATTTACTTTTTGGAAGCTCGTGTTCGAACACCCCGTGTACAAATAGAAATCGCTTTTTTTATTTTTTAGTTTTTTTAGATTAATTTTATATATAAACCAATCACCAGTTTTAAATTAACATTTACGATTTAATGTGATAAGAAATTTTATAGTTAATGCTTTTTTTTTAAACAGCAAATATATTTTTTAATTTTAAACAAAAATAAAGGCCATTGTTTAATATTTATACCCCCCAATTTTGTTATTCATACCCCATGGCCAGAATTAAGGAAAATTTGGCCGAGCGATATCACGTGTCAGTGCATAATGTTGGCCAGAAGGGTACAAATAACAAAAATGGGGATAAAATAACTATCGCCAAAATAAAATATTTTTATAATTCCAATTTAACTAAACCAAAAAAAGAAATGAATTATCAGAATTAGTAAATCCATATCAATCACCGCGCATGTAATATGCAAATCATTTTCATATTAAAAAAATTCGTGTAACCATATTTGAGTCACTTCATTTTATGATAAACTATGAGGCGCCATGCTGTTCAAAAGTCTGGGGTTTAAACCCCAGATCAAATCCCAGATTTATCCGGGGTGAAAATGGATTAATCCATATTTCATCCCAGATTTTCCTATATTTCAC